TTGTGTTTGCGGGGGTTGAGCTCTGGCTCTTTGGTCCCGCCTCTCAACCGTCAATCAACAGGTGTGTGTGTGTGTGTGTGTGTGTATGTACTCACCTATTTGTGCCTGAAGGATCGAGCTTATGTTCTTGGACCCATCTTTTCGTGTGTGTGTATATGTGTATTTATTATTTGTATCTGCAGAATCGAGCTATTAGCTCTTGGACCCCTACCTCGGATAGAGAGACAAGACGGACCGAAACAGATACTCTATTTTATAGATATAGATATACATCCTGGCGTGGAGGACACCTTGCGTGATTATCTCCCCCCTCTGGGGCTGTCAGGAGCCAATTTTACACTAAAGTAAAAGGAAGGTGAGAGAAGGAGAAGATATAAATACAGAGAAGACTTCGTGGGGGAGTTGGACACTATAGGTGAAGGGGTATTGGCAGACTGCCCTTGCTCAAGCCCCCTTGGCCCTCTGGCAGGAGCACTTGAATCCTGGGGTTTCTTCTGAGAACCCGGCCCATAAGTTCCTGAGCCTAGGCGACTGACGGCTGCCTCAGGGTTCTAGTATCTCTTTGGCATTGTCGAGGACTGCAGGGGGAGAGCCTTTTGGAGTCCACAACCCACAATAGTTGTCTAACTCCCGGGTACCTATTTACTGCTAAGTGAACAGCTGCACCAGGTGAAAGGAAGCGTTGGTCAAACGTCTCGGCTGTCCTGTTTGACTGGGATATGCCCCGCTGACCTATGGTTGGTAGTTCTCTAAAAATGTTATCTGTAGCACAGTGGTCTACGTCGTCGGATCAGGATCGAGTTGAATGCCCAGATGGGACAGAAACGGTTGACCAGGTTTCCTTTCACCTGATGTCTCTGTTCACCCAGCAGTAAATAGGTACGAAGGTCAGTAGTTGGCCTGGAAGGGAGGCTGGATAAGCCTCCCCTATATAAGGAGAATAAGGATAAGATAAGGATAAGTACAGGCTTCCTGTAGGTAAACCCATACGCAAATCAAAAGGTAAAGCCAGAGGTAAACATGTGAAAGTTTTATTCCAATAAATACTCCAGCTGGGACTTTGCGACACATGTGTATACACTGAACACGTTGAACAGTTCTTTAATGTTGCAGAACAGGTGTTCTTACATGCAGGGATGATTTCCTCCATCTATGCCATCTATGTTATAACTCAGTTCCTTCTATGTTACAGTTCAGCAGGAAGAGCAACGAACGCGCGCTCCACATCGCGTTTATCACAACAATAACAAACGATGACGTCACCGGATATAAATTACGTGACTTACTATTTACAATGCTTGTAAAACAAAAGAGCATCTGCTCAAACACTCTGCACCTAGTCTAAGTAGTATTTAATCCTATAAAATACCTTAATCTTAAACAATTGTTCTGTGGCGATTCGGATACATTCCTGACTTCAGATATGTCCCCCAGAGTAAAAAGTCGAGGATTGGAGACTACGCAAGTACTTACGAACGTGTACATCTTTCCTCAATCTTTGACGGCTTTTGTTACATTTATTAAACAGTTTACGCGCATGAAAACTTCCCAATCAACTGTTGTTATTGTTATAAACAGCCTCCTGGTGCTTCCGAGCTCATTAACTGTTTAATAATTGTAAAAAAAAAAAACGCCAAAGATTAAGAAAAGATGTACAGGTTCGTAAGTGTTTGCGTAATTGCTTCGTGAATATGACCCCTGGGGTGGGGGCATGCATGCCCACTGTACCTCGCGTTCTCATCCACCTCTTTGGAAAAAAAAATGATTTAAAACAATTCCCAACAGCAATAGAGCAGTGCGTGGTGGGCCTTGCTTAATACACAGTTTATGTCGTTCCAACGAAGGAATGTCATCTAATTGAGAGATAAGGAAAGACGGCACCGCTCCTGTGCCAGGTAAGTCCACTACGGGCTCACCATAGCCCGTGCTACTTGCCCCGCTCCTGTGCCAGGTAAGTTACGGGCTCACCATAGCCCGTGCTACTTGGAACTTGTTCCGAGTAGCTGAATCTATTACAACAACAAGGAAAGACTGTAACATACAAAGATAAGTTTCCGCTATAACACGACAAGGCAAACAAATTTTTTTACACAATTTGACAGCAAATATTCCCGCCTAGACCATGACTCGTGGATCTCCTTTTGACAATGGACCTTCAGCCCTCCAATTTGGGTTGTTTTCAGACCAATGACACGCATTGTGCCGGTTGACAATATCATTTAGATGAAATTAAGGCTTTCACGTCACTTTAAAATACCAAACATTCCCACTATTGTAACAACCACTCACAATCCGCCTGTCTCTGTCATCACTATATGCAGAGTGAGCCGGTCGGCCGAGCGGACAGCACGCTGGATTTGTGATCCTGTGGTCCTGGGTTCGATCCCAGGCGCCGGCGAGAAACAATGGGCAGAGTTTCTTTCACCCTATGCCCCTGTTACCTAGCAGTAAATAGGTACCTGGATGTTAGTCAGCTGTCACGGGCTGCTTCCTGGGGGTGGAGGCCTGGTCGAGGACCGGGCCGCGGGGACACTAAAGCCCCGAAATCATCTCAAGATAACCTCAAGAAGAAGGTCCTGGATCGTCTGCACTTTATAGGGACGGAAATGATGAGTTTTATCAATTCGATGAGTTGAGGTTCTTGGGCGACCTGCTTTATTGATAATCATACTCCTTTTCGTCATCTTTATTAAACACGCCTAATCTAACGTAACCCAATCCAGCGTAATCAAACCTAACGCAATCTAATCTAGCAAATGATTTTTAGCCTTAGCTAACCTGGGGCCAGATTCACGAAAGCACTTACGACTGTACATCTTTTCTCAATCTTTGGCGGCTTTGTTTCCAATTATTAAACAGTTAATGAGCTCCGAAGCACCAGGAAGCTGTTTATAACAATAACAACAGTTGAATGGGAAGTTTTCATGCTTGTAAACTGTTTAATAAATGTAACCAAAGCCGTCAAAGATTGAGGAAAGATGTACACGTTCGTAAGTACTTGCATAAGTGCTTTCATGAATCTGGCCCTAGCTAATCTCTCCTAACATAGCCCTACCTAAAATATGCTAACGAAACGAAACGTCACACCACAAAATAAGAAAACGGAAGCCACACTATATTTTCTAACAAAAATTAAGAGCAAAAAAGTGTGGCTTGCCGTGTAAACACTTCGTTCGGATCCCTGCACAAGAGGCTTAAAATATACAGCTTATAAAATGAGTTACTAAAAAAAAAAACATTTTCTAATGTTTCATTTCACTCTTAAGATCAAGCACGCAATGTGTTAGACTCGAATGTCATCGCATGGCGTCTCTGCATGTTTGTGTTGGAGCGCCATCTGTATGCCTTACACGCATACACTACTCGATCTATGTCGTCTCTGATCTTCAAAGTCATCCTGTACTGTGAGTGAGAGGGTGGGGGGAGCTATCAGGGGAAAGCCCCCAAGCCATTACGACTATGGCTGCCCGAAACGCTTTGCGTAATAGTGGCTTTAGGCATTGTATGTACTAGCTCTATCTATTAATCCAACAAACTTTGTAAAATCTCTTTATGTATGTACCTTACCTAAATAAACATTTATTTATTTATTTATTTATTTACTATATAGCACTTGGAAGGGGTCAGGATAAGGATTTGGGATGGGACGGGGGGAAAGGAATGGTGCCCAATCACTTGTGGACGGTCGGGGATTGAACGCCGACCTGTATGAAGCGAGACCGTGGTTCTGTCGTCCAACCTTTATTAGGTACTCCCATTGTGCCCTGCAGAATCGAGCTGTTAGCTCTTGGGCCCCGCCTTGATAACTATCGGTGGTCAAGTGTACTGACTCCCGACCTATTTTCCCTATCATATTTATCTCCAACAAACCTACACACATCCCGGTCTGATTCCTAGGTACCTATTTACTGCTAGGTGAACATCAGGAGAAAGAAACTGCCTGTTTGTTTCCGCCTCGGCCGGGAATCGAACCCGAGCTCTTAAGTCGGAGACCTCCGAGCGCCGTCCACTCAGCCACGAGGCCCCAACACCCCCTGTGTGTGTGTGTGTGTGAGGGGGTGCATGGGTACTCACCTACTTGTGCTTACGGAACTTAGCTCGGGTTCTTTGTGTCAGCCCGTGTCCTCGACTTTACACGTATGTATTTTTAGAAAGTTTTGGCCGAGCCCTTTAGCCTCTGGTCTCAGATATACCCACCAAACTACCACGGCCAATGGTCCATTTTCTTCCGAAAATTAGTAGTTTATGAATCGAATCACTTCAGTTCGGGTGACACAGGTCTCATATCACAACGTTCAATCCATCTGGCTCTCCTCCGCCAGCTGTAGCACAGCTGGCGGAGGAGAGCCAGCTGTAACACAGCTGGCAGCGCGCCATATTTTATCCACTGACCTATATGCAGTGGGCTGTTCGGGTACACCTTAAAGGGTTGTGCTCAGCTAGATGAACTGGCGGGGGTTGAGATTCACCTCTTGGTCCCCGCCTCTCAACTTTCTGCCATATCTGGGAGTATATGTGAAGCTAAATTATTTACCTTTGTTGGGTATTTTTTATTTAATCTTGGCACCCTTTGATTTCGTACCGCCCATGATAAATATTATCCTTATCTCCCTGTCTATTCCCACCGAGTATTTTCTATGGAGTGATCATGTCTTCCTTGATTAGGCTTTCATTCATTAACGTAGGGTTTAATTAATTAAATATTTTCTCGTAACTCATATAATTCTCGGCTTTGGGATTAGACTGCTGGCATATTATTTTCAACTTCATTCAGTGTTTTACAAAATATGGACTCGAGGCTGGCGCCGCATATTCCAAAGTTGGTCTGACATATGTGGCATACGAGACGCTCAGGTAAGGGGGAGCATTCACATTGATCCAGCACAGTATGGAGCCCCTAGTACTACTGACTACAGGTGGGGAACCTGTTGGGAACATCTCTCTCTCCTCTCTGACGTGTCTCTCACGGTGACACTTCACTATCTTCCCTGTCACTATCTTTACTTGTCACTATCTTTCCTGTCACTATCTTGCCTTTCACTATCTTCCTTGTCACTACCGTACCTGTCACTTTCTTCCTTGTCACTATCGTGCCTGTCACTATCTTCCTTGTCACTATTTTCCCTGTCACTATCTTCACTGTCACTATCTTCCCTGTCACTATCTTCCTTGTCACTATCGTCCCTGTCACTATCTTCCCTGTCACTATCTTCCTTGTCACTATCTTCCCTGTCACTATCTTGCCTGTCACTATCTTCCTTGTCACTATCTTGCCTGTCATCATCTTCCTTGTCACTATCTTTCTTGTCACTATCGTCCCTGTCACTATCGTTCCTGTCACTATCTTGTCACTATCTTCTCTGTCAAAGTTGGGTGATGTTAGCCCCAAGCATTTGGCCTCCAACCTTGGACGGACAGACAGAAAATCTCTCTTACAGATGGTAAGGTATATTATCAGGAGACAGCACTAAACATGTACATCTATTTCGCACTTGGGAGAGATATGAGGATAAGAAGCTGGGATCGGAGTGTGGGAAGATAATGAGAATAAGAAGCTGGGATAGGATGGGGGATGCTCAACCATTTGGACTATCAGAGATCAAACACAAAGTTGCAAGAAGCGAAGCCTCCTCTGTACCGACCAATCCAAATGGTTGGGTGATTTGCTCATAGCGTAACGAATGTTGATTCAGCTCCTCAGCCCGTTATGTGCCTCCATAAACCTGTAGTCCTGTGTGTAAACCTGTGTGTTCAACTCCTGGTGGCTCCGTAACACAACCACACACAATATGGGTATAGGGTACACAATCCAGTAACTAAACAGTGCAACTGTGTAATTCATCATGGTTGTAATATGCTTAGCACAAAGCTCACAAGCCATTGCTTCGGGTGGGGATGGTATTGGTAGGGTGTCTCCAAGGGGGCATAATTGGCCGACCCCTCAATGTGTTTAAAAGAGAACTGGATAAGCACCTCCAAAGGATACCATCAACTAGGCTGTGATTCATACATCAGGCTGCGAGCAATCGCGTCCAACAGCCTGGTTGACCAGTCCAGCAACGAGGAGGCCTGGTCGACGACCGGGCCGCGGGGACGCGAAGCCCCGGAAAAAACTCCCAAGATACGGAGGGGAGTACAGTCACTGACCCCGTCCGTCATGTTCCTCCGTGAACCTTGCTCATACATTCCCCCCATCTGTGAAAAGCATTTATAGCGATTCTAAACTAAAAAGAGAACAAGAGAGTATATATGTGGGTTATGTTGAATATGATTGGTTTGGTATTAAACCAATCTATTAACTATTACCACCCCACATACGTTTAGCAATTGTATTATTACTGATTGATGCTCTTGTGTATAACGGCACGTATTCGTACCAAAATCTTGAATGCGCACTTCGGTTCCTACACACACATATGGGCCGGTTCATTTGTCTTTGATCACGCCACGTTATTGCAACACCACTGTGGGTACTTTCCAGTTGATCTTTTGTTCTACGAAGGTTTAACTATTTGTCTAGTATTTTGGCGCCATATACGTTAATAAAAACGAAACTATATGCAATACACAACGCAAAATGCAAGTGTACTTCTTGGCCAGTTCGCGATATATTATTTTTTGACAATTATTACATTTGTGAGGGAAAACTACAGGATACAAGTCGACAGGAACATTAACTTTGGGTTTTATTGAGTACGAGTCATAACTTGACGTAAGTTTGTTATTGTCTCGCTCCGAGGGTGATCGTAGTTGATGCCGGACTCTCGTACACATTTTAAAACTGTCGCACACAATGGCTCTCTATATAACATTGCATGTATTATATTGTATACTTTTTTCCCCTGTGTACTCAAGATGGTGTATTTAATCAAACCCTAGTTTATTATAAATATATCTTTAAAAACTGAGACTATAATACGTGAATTCTAGTTCATTAAATCACATTCCTGAATTATCCTCAATATCGAAAATTTAAATTCGTATCAATAAAGCTTCAGTTATGTCGAGTACCAAAATATAATAAAATATATTTAATGTGTGTTTACATTTGTATACATTAGAATAGAGAGGAGAATAGAGCAGTACACTGGAGTAGGGGGGGAGTGGGAAGTTTTTCTCGGTAGTCCCGCACGCTGCCGGTGATCATCGAGCGCGAGAAGGCCGTGGGTGCAGTGTTTTGGTGAGACGTCACGGTCGTGACGTCATATGGCGTGATGGCAAACCCGAGCTGAGATTGGCTGAGCGGGCGGGGCAAGCGGGTTGTGATTGGCTGGTGCCGTGAGGCAACATCGCGCGATTGTCAGTCGTGCGAGGCGCGTGAGAGGGGCTGGAGACGACCTGCTTGCACACGCACACGCACGCACACGCACGCACACGTAGGATTGGTCTAGGAGCTAGTAGTGTGTGTGTGTGGGGGTTTGATGGTGACCCACCATGGAGGACGACGTCATCATCCCCGACGACTTCGAGGAGGAAGGTGAGCCTGGCTCTTGCGGTGGGTGATGCCCTGCACCCACCTTCTTTCACCTGGCCTCCCATGGTGATGCCCTGCACCCACCTTCTTTCACTTGGCCTCCCATGGTGATGCCCTGCACCCACCTTCTTTCACCTGGCCTCCCATGGTGATGCCCTGCACCCACCTTCTTTCACTTGGCCTCCCATGGTGATGCCCTGCACCCACCTTCTTTCACCTGGCCTCCCATGGTGATGCCCTGCACCCACCTTCTTTCACCTGGCCTCCCATGGTGATGCCCTGCACCCACCTTCTTTCACCTGGCCTCCCATGGTGATGCCCTGCACCCACCTTCTTTCACCTGGCCTCCCATGGTGATGCCCTGCACCCACCTTTCACCTGGCCTCCCATGGTGATGCCCTGCACCCACCTTCTTTCACCTGGCCTCCCATGGTGATGCCCTGCACCCACCTTCCTTCACCTGGCCTCCCATGGTGATGCCCTGCACCCACCTTCCTTCACCTGGCCTCCCATGGTGATGCCCTGCACCCACCTTCCTTCACCTGGCCTCCCATGGTGATGCCCTGCACCCACCTTCCTTCACCTGGCCCCCCATGGTGATGCCCTGCACCCACCTTCCTTCACCTGGCCTCCCATGGTGATGCCCTGCACCCACCTTCTTTCACCTGGCCTCCCATGGTGATGCCCTGCACCCACCTTCCTTCACCTGGCCTCCCATGGTGATGCCCTGCACCCACCTTCTTTCACCTGGCCTCCCATGGTGATGCCCTGCACCCACCTTCCTTCACCTGGCCCCCCATGGTGATGCCCTGCACTCACCTTCCTTCACCTGGCCTCCCATGGTGATGCCCTTCACCTACCCTCCTTCACCTGGGCCTCCCATGGTGATGCCCTGCACCCACCTTCCTTCACCTGGCCTCCCATGGTGATGCCCTGCACCCACCTTCCTTCACCTGGCCCCCCATGGTGGTGCCCTGCACCCACCTTCCTTCACCTGGCCTCCCATGGTGATGCCCTGCACCCACCTTCCTTCACCTGGCCTCCCATGGTGATGCCCTGCACCCACCTTCCTTCACCTGGCCTCCCATGGTGATGCCCTGCACCCACCTTCCTTCACCTGGCCTCCCATGGTGATGCCCTGCACCCACCTTCCTTCACCTGGCCCCCCATGGTGATGCCCTGCACCCACCTTCCTTCACCTGGCCCCCCATGGTGATGCCCTGCACCCACCTTCCTTCACCTGGCCCCCCATGGTGATGCCCTGCACCCACCTTCCTTCACCTGGCCCCCCATGGTGATGCCCTGCACCCACCTTCCTTCACCTGGCCCCCCATGGTGATGCCCTGCACACACCTTCCTTCACCTGGCCCCCCATGGTGATGCCCTGCACCCACCTTCCTTCACCTGGCCCCCCATGGTGTTGCCCTGCACCCACCTTCCTTCACCTGGCCCCCCATGGTGTTGCCCTGCACCCACCTTCCTTCACCTGGCCCCCCCCATGGTGATGCCCCTGCACCCACCTTCCTTCACCTGGCCCCCCATGGTGTTGCCCTGCACCCACCTTCCTTCACCTGGCCTCCCATGGTGGTGCCCCTGCATGCACCTTCCTTTTATTTAGTTACATATACAGTATATATAACTAATGTAATAGAATATTACATTATTCTATTATTAAATAGAAAAATGCATATTCTCTTACATTAATTAGTACTACATATAGAAAGTGTGTCAGGGCTTGGTGTGAGGTGATGCTTCTTGAATGTGTGTTGAAACGGAGGCTAAAAGTTAAGTTTTCACTAAAGTGAGCTAGAGGGGCACCTTTTTCTTGGCAGTCTTTGGTTCATATAGCTTAATTTTCAGAGCTGTCTTTGTGGTGTTTTCTCTCTTTATTTGGTAAATTTTGATAGCCCTCTTCTCATGGTAAAATGCCTTATGGATGACCAAAATACTTTCCTGCTTGATACCTGCTGGATGGGGTTCTGGGAGTTCTTCTACTTCCCAAGCCCGGCCCGAGGCCAGGCTCGACTTCTGAGAGTTTGGTCCACTAGGCTGTTGCTTGGAGCGGCCCACATACCCACCACAGCCCGGCTGATCCAGAACTTCTCTTAGAAAACAGTCCAGTTTTCTCTTGAAGATGTCTGCTGTCATTAAAAATTCGCTGCTTATTCAACACAATGTTTTGCATAATTTTTCTCATATTATTGTTAGGTGATGCAAGCCTAGTGGATAAGGGCATGGTATGGCATTTGATCAATTGAACTGGTTTGTACAGTGCCGGCCTCGCTTCTTGCAAGGCTGGCGACCTATCCTCAATGGTCTAAGTGGTTGGCCACCTTTCCTTCATTCAGTCCTTGTGTCCTAACTCCTTGCCTGTGTATCCCTTTAAAGTGCTATAACGTTCAGTATAGTATGTATAGTCATACTGGCTTAGCGCTTTCTCCTGGTGACTTAATTATTCGATCAATTTAGCCATGTCAGTTTAATTTACTTAATCCAGTGAGCATTATTGTAATCTATACTACTGTATATGTATTTATTTTCAGTTTAACATTTATATATAAAACCAAGGATATGAATTGAATTTCAAGGATGTAAATAAAGTGGTAGCAAAAGAATGCTTCTATTGATCACTACTTGTAAAACTTCAAAGAGTAGTTAAATACAGTATCAACATGCTTTTACTGTAAATGTTTTGGTTCTCTATTGACATTGACCTTCAATATGTCTTGGGGGCTAATTATTTGCAGCTGTATCCAGAAGACTGATTATAATATAAATCTACTAATAATTACTTGTACCTATTTATATGATCAAATTTTCATTTGATTCTAGATCTCCTGACGCAGATGAACTGGCCAGATCTAGACTTGGTGGACATAAAGGATTTGGGAATAGATTGGAATGAAAGTGATGTTTTGTCTCAAGGAGGGACTGGGAGCAGTATAAACCAAGCGAGTGTGTCCGCCCCAAGCAACACCTCGACTCCCACTCATGGTAATAACAGCTTCAACACAACGCTCAACGGCACCATCAACAGCTCTAGCTTTCTGTGTAACGGTGATAGTTTCCTGAACAGCAGTGACTTTCAGGCAAGTTGAGAAAATTTCTTGACTATAACTTTGGGTTTTGTGGTACAGAGGTCTATTTTCTTTACTCACAATTGGGTTTCATGGTTTGATACCTAGGTTAGACAGAAATTGTTTGGGGACATTTCATTTCACCTGATACAGTACCTGCTAGGTGAACAGGTATCTGGTATCTGAAAATTAGGTAATTGCTGTTAGTTGCATCCTGAGGAAGGCGAGTTGCATCCTGAATAAGGCCTGCTTTCTGGCAAAGCAGGCATCCTATGAAGACTATTTCCTGTCAGAGGTACTACCCCTCGTGGACATCCCCAGAAACCCCAATGATGAATTTGGGACACATCATATGAAGCCATATAATGGGTGTCCCAATGGAGTTTATGGATGCGGGTTTATCCCATCATACGGCTTCATTATTTTCTCATAAATGTGTGTATTATGTTGACCAGACCACAACACACTAGTAGGTGAAGGGACGACGACGTTTCGGTCCTAATCGGCAATCGACTTGAGAATGGTCCAGGACGAACCGAAACGTCGTAGTCCCTTCACCTTATAGCGTGTGGTCTGGTTAACATACTTTAACCACGTTATTGTGACTCATCGCCTGCATGTGTATATTATATCTTGGTGTCCTTGTAACACGATTGTACACCATATTTGTTTTATGTTTATTTATCCTATGCTGCTCAGAATGTTATTGAAAAGATTTTCATTAATGGATGCAAAATTAGGAGTTGAAAATAGAAAAACCATTGAGTTTAATTTTATCGAAATTCTATATTCAAGTTTCATTTTAAATTTAAGTTCACTAGTCATGGAGCTATTTTAAAAAAATAGGGTAGAGAGGGGTCTTTGGATGAAGGGTACAATTTGACATAATCAGATTCTTATCAGGAGACATCATGTGTATGGTCTGAAGTATGATTTTGCCTTAAATATATGCAGTTCCATATGCAGGCATATATAACACTGGCAAAAGTGAAAGTAAACAAAGCAAATTATAATTTTTTCGTAGTAACTATAATATAATAATCAATGTATCGGGGGACAGGCAGCCAGTGTATACAGTATATTTGTTAGGTTTTATATCGAGGTCACCCCAAAGGTCATTGTACTGACCCTCCCCAGGCAGCAACCCTACAAGAAGCAAACTTAATTCCTGGGAACACAAGGGTGTTACGTTATAGGAAATACACCTAACCATTTCTATCCTGTCGGGGATTCAAAACCAGAATTCCTGATAGTGAGTGAATGAACCCAACGGTACTTCTGTAATGCACAACGGTTTTATCTTTTATTGTAATAAGCGTTTTATTTATTTATCTTGCACAACACTAATACTGCCTTAACAATTGTCATAAGAGGTGTGTATACAGCCATGGAAAATTACATAATTTTTATTTTTTAAGAATTTAGAATAAAAGTAGTAATCTTAGTTTCTTATTTGTTTATTTACAGGACTCAAAAGTATCTCCACAGCACCAACAACTGCAACAGCCGCAGCAGCAACAACTAGTGGTAACGTCAGTAAGTGGAGTTCGGCAGGTGGCACACGTTGCTCCCAGAATTGGTCAGACCTCGATTATCAATGTCCCTCAGACATTGGTGACTAGTAGTGGATTGAACCAAGCTCCACAGCTACAACAACTGCTCACCCATCAACAAATTGGTGTTCATCAGCAACAAAACACGGTTACCCACATTCAGCCTCGTACACTTCAGTTACACCCCCAACTCCAGCAAGTTAAAATACCTCAGTCTATTGGCAAGAGAGTTGTGACCACGGGGATTTCTCAAGTAATACAGCAGCCTTCATTGATACAACAGCTGGTGATACCCAAAGCAGAGACACTCACCACCACATCATCAGGGCAGTGCATTACCGTACCGCATGCTGTCTTGTATAAGACGGCACCCACCCTTACAACTATTACGACGCCCATTCAGAATTTTGACCAGGCTACAGTTGTCACGGGTATTCCAGTTATGTTGGATTCTGATCGTGTACCCCTGGCGAGAGTAGTTAGTTCTGCATCAAAAGCAATGATTGTGCCACAGAAGGGTGAGAAGCGAAATTCCCACAATGCTATTGAGAAGCGTTATAGAAGTTCCATTAACGACAAGATTTTGGAGCTCAAGAATCTAGTTGCAGGTGAAGAGGCAAAGGTATGTAATATACATGCATTTTCAGTACTGTATTCTAATGGGCAATGTCAGTACTTTGTTCTAATGGCTATTTTCAGTAATGTAATGTAATTTTGATGGAATTTTATAGATTGATGATGACTGCATTTGCCTAGGTAACGCACGCATGGTGATAACTACATTTGTCTGGTAATGTGACCACAAAATGAGAGCCGGATTTTTACTCTGTGAATCAATTTATGACAATACCGCTGCCTAAGAGTTGATTATTTTTTTTCATTATTTTGACTATTACACTTGTCAGTGATACAGGTCTATAACTAAGAGGGTCTTCCCTGCTGCCATTTATGTAGCCTGGAACTATGTTAGCCTTTTTTCTATATATCTGCCCTGTACCCAGAAATGACCAAAAAATAAATTGAAGTGGAATGCTGAACTCTGGTGTTCATTCTCTCGGAACCCAAGGTGAAACTTCACCTGGGCCAGCTGCTTTGTTCCTACTTGGCTCCTTGAGCATTTTTTCCCACTTCATCTGTAAACTCTGTTGTTTTCTGGCAGTCCTATTGAGTCTGGGCCTGAAAATTTAATTTTGCACAAACACACTTTGGAACTGTTGGTTTAATGTTTCATGCATTTCCTTTTCATTTTCCGTGACTACGTTTTCCATTTTCAACCTCTGAAATTTATCCTTTACCTGCAATTTGCTTTTAATGAATTTATAGAATACACCTGGTTCTGTTTTACATTGCTATTAGTTTCACAAAAAAAATTGCTGCCTCTCTTCTCGCTGTTGTTTTTCTTCCAGCTGGATTTTAAAGTTTTAAGAGTTTTGTCATATACCGCTTCAGCAGGTAGACAGTTCCATAGGTTTATAACCCTCTGGGTGAAAATTCATCTCCTGTTTTGAGTCCATTGTGGCTTGCTGAGCTTGAAACCCTTGCTCCTAGCTTGTGTTACATCTGACCCTCTGAAGAAATTGTCTGGATCAACATCCTCCAAATTGTTTAATATTTTGCAGATGAGGAGTCACAATAACATGGCTGAAAAATTGACTTGATAATGGTCCAGGACAGACCGAAATGTTGTTGTCTCTTCACTTTCTAGTGTGTGATTTGGTCAACCTGTTCAGTATTTTTAATGTTTTGATGAGATCTGCCTGTCATGCCTGGTTTGCAGTGTTGTTAGCCCTGAGGCCCTCAACCGTTCCTGCTACGACAGTTGACGTGGTTCTGGAATTATTTTTATTGCCTGGTGGTGTTCTTTTTCCCCTGAAGATGAGGTCTCCATGCTTGGATGCGATAGTCCAAGTGGACTGGGAGATGCACCAGAGATTTATGCAGTTGAATATTTACCTTCTATTTGAATCGTTCTTTAGTTGTAAGACCTTACACTAGCCAAACAATTTTATTTACTGATTTTGCTTCTCTGGTTCTTTCTGACCTAGATGTTACCTCTTTCTTTGCAACCAAAACTTATTAGGGACTTACTTCAATCAGCTCTGTTCTGCACCACCTTCGGCTTTGATGCCAATTCTTTTCTGACTTCGTCTAATGTCTGGGTTTTTCTGACTGCTGCAGTTTCTGGCCTTTACTGCTGCTTCTATTATTACTTTCTCCCTGGTCTGTTGTGCATAGGTATGTTGCATATCCTTCTTGCATTGTTCTATTATGTGTAACTACTTCTATCTGTTCTGATAAGAGCTCTATTTTTTATGTTGAAATTCCTTGCATAACTTACTGTAGTCATTCGTGTTAACATTTCCTTTAACTTCTTCAAAAGCTATTTTCAATACTTTTCCTCCGCTAGGGCTTTACATTTGGCTTCCCAGTGATTCCTGTCCTTGTATAATGCTTTGATTTGCCCCTCAAGAGCTAATACTGTACTTTACTACCCAAGTTCTCATTACTGTCCTCCAAATTCCTGATTATTTCCACATGATAGTTTTCATTAATCATAAATTTTGCCAACTTGTCGTGCAAACTGCTCATACCAATACAGTACTGTTCTCGTTAAAGTCACCAAAATCCAGCTCTGACGTTAATGTTCTTCCTCTTGCCAGTGGCCATCCTGGATTTCGTCGTCTGCAACTGTTTAGACTGGCAGCATTTTCCTCATCCAATTTTTTCACTTCTCCCCTTGCGCATGTGTGTTATTTCAGCAATTTTTCAGTCATTACACATTTAAGTCTCAAGACATCACTGTCATTAACCTATTCTACAATACTTGGGTATTTTAATTATCCTGAAGCTCCTCTGATGCAGGTATTATCTGCATATATGCATGCAACTAATGAGTTTGAGTTAGTTGCTATTGCTTCATGCCTTTTGAGCCTTGTAGTTGTCTGTAAACTGACTTTCTGGATGCTGATGAGGCTGATGAAAATTGTTCCTTGCTTCCTGGCTTACCGCTTCTGGTCCTCGGTAGACCAGCCAGGACTTCTGGAACTCGTATGACCAAGTAGTGGGGAATCATCTCGGCAAGATAGTTTCAAGAAGCCACTGAGGGGCTCCTTGCCGAAAATCTTTCTTTCCTTGTGTATGTCAAGTGGAAGCTTGGTGGGAGGGTCATTGGGTTCATTGACACGTAGGGAAAGATAGCTGGGATGTTCCAATTAGGTAGTTTATATGTTTGCCATTTCAATTTAGTTTACATACTCAATTGCACATAAATCTATTCCCGACACTTAACCCTTCCACAACGCGAGTCATACCGGGATGATTTCAACGTATCTGACCCACTGCGCGAGTCATGCAGGGATGATTTTTAAGTTTATAAATATTAGATCCTTGCTGGCAGCAGCATATTCACAACTGTAGCTAAATTGCATTGAATTTTGATAGACCAAACATGATGCATTGTTGTGAGGGCCTTACTGGACTAGAATGTGGGGAATTTTTAGTACGGTATTTTCTTTCAGTATTGTATACAGATTTTTGTTTGTACATACAGTATAGTGATTAGAGATTCTTAGTGTGGAACTACATAGTCTTCCTAGATTGGTGCCTTCTTTTGATAATTATATATTTACTTAGTGTGTTGTAAATATTTTAATTCATGTTTGTTTTTCAGCTTCACAAATCTCAAATTTTGAAAAAGGCAATTGATTACGTAAGGTACCTGCAGACTCAGAATGCTAGGTTAAGGACAGAGCTCAACACGTACCGAATGCGTGATGGAAACCAGAAGATAACTGATCTCTTAGTAGGGCCCTATACTCCTCCTCCATCGGATATTTCCTCGCCTGCTAGATCACCTCTCTCTGATTCTTCACTGCCTCCATCACCAAAATCAACAAAGTTGGAAGTAAAAGATGAGGTATTTTTGTTCATTTTGAATTTGATTTATTTGGATTAGTTTAAATAATTGTATTTGTAAGTAAATGGTGTTTGTATCAATTCTGCCAGTGATTCCAAATTTCAATAAAATCTAAGTTATTATATATTGTCAATTTCAGCAGATACCATCACCTGGAACCAGTCCACCATACATAACAATGACTCCGACAATGGCGGATTCCTCCCGATTGCTGCTGTGTGCAATGATGTTCACTGTCCTCGTCTTCAACCCCACTGGTTTCTTGAGCACGCATTTTGCTCCGAGCCAGTCTCTGTCATACGACGTTCCTGGAAGAACTATTCTCGAGATGGAACCCGGAGAAAGTTAGTTTCATTGTCTAACTTGTATATTTCATCCTCTGAAATTTTAGGAATTTAGTAGCCATGTGATATTACATTACTCATTATCCATGAAAAAATATTATTTCATTAGCTTTGAATTGAAATTGAAATAAGTTTATTGAGGTAAAATACACACAAAGGGATGAGGTAGCTCAAGCTATTCTCACCCCGTTCAGTACAACGTGTTAGTACATACATAGACACACATCACAAACAGTAAACTTGTTACCATTAGCATTTGCATTAGCTTCTCTCTCAAAAGATTGATATGCCAATGTTGACTTTTCAGGCAGCTTTTCCTTCCGAAGCCTTCTGTTTTCTTCATTTATGGTGTGGATGGTTAATTTTGCCATCATCGCTGTATTTCTTACGAGGATATTTGTCTACGGAGAGCCAGTTATGAGGAGAAAGTCGACCATAGCTGAACATTTTTGGCGTCACCGCAAACAGGCAGATCTCGATATGGCCAAGGTAAATGTTCATGAAATGGATACAATTTAATGAAGAATGTATTAGTTTAATATATTATTATCTTTATAAATTTGGTGAAATCTTGAAGGGGAGAGAAATGCAATACAGTACTTGTACTACACTAATTTGAAGGTGACTTCAAGTATTACAAGAGGACAAGACGCAGTGGTTTTTTTTTTTATTCACCAAGATTTATTTTTATACACTCGCACAACCCGTCCTCTTACTGAACATACTGTACTATATTTTTTTGTGCAATTGAGCGAAAATTGCCATGGTTTAGGGACTTTAAAAACCCCCCTTAGTATTAATGCATTTAGCAACTTGAGTATTGGTGCCAGTCGGTTAAGTGGGCAGCCTAGGTTTTGATGCTTTAAAAAAAAAATTTTTTTTGGAGGTGACATCAAGAGCACCCTGATATTATGTTTTTGAAGTGAATCATGACACAGCAGCATGTAGGATCTGGGGGCCTGACAGCTGCGAGTGGACAGCGCTTCGGATTCGTAGTCCTGAGGGTTCCGGGTTCGATCCCCGGTGGAGGCGGCAAAAATGGGCAGAGTTTGTTTCACTCTGATGCACCTGTTCACCTAGCAGTAAATAGGTATCTGGGAGTTACTGCTGCTACGGGCTGCTTCCTGGGTATGTGTAACAAAAAGGAGGCCTGGTCGAGTACTGGGTCGTGGGGACGCTAAACCCCGAAATCATCTCGAGGTACTGTTACCTCAAGATAACCTCAAGAAGGATTGCTGCACGTGATTGTTGACTCATTTTAAGTGTTCAGCTGTTTGATTTTTGTTCACTATATTTTCACAATGATTGTTGTAATGTATCTTTACAAACAAACTTGCAATGTAATCTATCGTAATGATACTGGAAATAGCGTGTTCCTGCTGAAAAGCAATATAGCCAGTTTTAATGGTTAGGAACATTCTAGGTTTGTACGGCCATCTGATGTTTTTTTTTTTCCACAGTTAAGGACATACTAAGCTAAATGATTTTGGTTTAGTGGAAATGCTAAATGATTGTTTTAGTTTATGGAACTTAGCTGTGGAACTTTTTAGCTGTGGAACACTTTCGCGTTCCACAGACTGACTATTAAGTCACTCATTTTTCTACTGAATGTGTTCCAATGACGCAGTACTGAGTCACTCATTAAAATATTTTTTAAAAATTTAAATTTTATCAGATCAATCTGGTAGTGGTTTTAAAATAAGCGCCTTTAGATAGCACACAATTTGATACCAAAATCAAAGATATAACATGAAACTTGATGTCCAAACGCTTGAAATATTATAAATAGGCCTATGGTCCGAATATTAAAATATTTGTTAAAATTCTATTTACTGTATTGTCCTATTATCTTGGGACTAGTTTTAAAATGCGCGCCTTTTTATTGCGAACAATTTGATACCAAAATGAAAGATGTAACACAAATATTTATGTCAGAACACTGGAAAGATATAAATAAATTTGTGATGATAAGCGTCCAGAATTAAAATATTTGTTAAAAATCTAGTTATTGCTCTATTATTCTGAGACTAGTTTTACAATAATCGCCTTTTTATTGCGAACAATTTGATACCAAAATGAGCGACGTAGGACGAAATTTGATGTTATCAAATTGAACGAGTTGAACATTAGGTTGCAATGTACAAAATGGTGCTCGTTCACGGGTAACTTTAGGCTTTTCTGCTGGGAGGTACTCCAGCCTTTTGTACATTTTATTCATACACATCTGTAGGGAATTTAATTGCGAACACAATGATACCAAAACGAGCGACGTAGCACGAGAATTAAGGTGAGAAAGCTGGAACGAGTATACACATTTGGGTGTCACCGCGCGCTTACCCACACGGAGGGGCTACCTACCCCCTGTCAACCGCGAGTTTCCACGGAGCGCGAAAGTGTTAATGAATTATGGCTAACCTAAATGAGGGCTAAATAATGGAAAGGAAGTATAAATTATATTTAGGTAAAATGTATTTGGTTGAAATTTAAATTAAATACCTTTTTTTCTCTCTTAGGGTAACTATAGCAGTGCCTGTCAACAATATGGTTTATCCCTGATTTCAATTGGACGGCCCTTACCAAGTACTTTAGTAGAGAAGGTGTTTTCTGTCATGTGGCAAGGCATCCGGCAAGTTCTGCAACGCCTCTATTTGGGGCGTTGGCTTGCCAAGCATGCTGGTGGTCTTTTTCTAGAGCCGTGAGTATCTTGCATCAATCTTTGTAATCTGATATGAATTTTTTGTTGGTTGTAATATAGCGATTCTCAGTTTCAAATTGTATTCCTCTTTTAGCTGCCCCGGACTCCTGCAAATCCTCCAAATACATGGTCTTTCCTTGACATTATGGAAATTATGGAAATCTTTTGGGCCCCCGGGAATGATGTACATTTTGTACCTACTAATCAAACCTGGCCATAGGCCTGGCTTGGGAAGTAAAACAACTGCCAGAACCCATTGCAGGTTCATTGTTGTATTTAACATATTGTTGTTAATAAAATAGTGTGTGGTCCTATATTCTGATTAAATTGAGTGTATATGATTATATATTTTATTTACAAAAGTTGATTTCTTTCTTGTAGGTCAGTTCGTGAAGAAATTCAGGAATGTATGTGCGAGTTTTCACACGTGTATCATAGACTGCACAAACTGCATCTCATGGGACACGCATCAGACTCTTCACATCTCCTTGGTCTCTATCTAGCCCTGACAGCCATCAACCTAGCAGAGTGTGGTGGGGTTGCGGGTGAGAATTCCGTAAAATTTTAAGTTGTAAAAATTCAATACTTTTTTATGCCACATTTAAGCCCTGAAGTACAGCTATGATCAGAGACCTCTCTTGCCTGTGCACAAAAAAAAAAAAAATTAGAAATAGTTTATAAAGTTGTAAGTGCAAAAAGTAAGAAATACAAAGGCTATACAATAAATCAAAATTTTATAAACATTTATTTGTATAAAAAATGTATTTATCGTAAGTTACAAATGCAACCTATTAAGATAAACGGTTCACAAATATTGACGCTTTCTATGCATCGGGCTTGATAAGTTAGGCGGCTTCCTTGGGGTTCATTCTTTTTTGGTTAGACTAAAAGATTGGATGTTTTACAGTGACTTATCAAGAGAACAGGCTGCTCACCTGACTTGTCAAAGGGGTTTGGGCTCAATATAGATTTGGAATGTGGTTATTATAGTAGTAGGCACCCATCAGTCTCGGAAGACTATGGAGTTGCACTCTGGCTGTTGGTCTGGAGTGGCCTCTCCTGGGCACAAAGCCAGGGTAGGTTGATACAGAGGAGAAGCTGTTACCCAAGCAGCAGGTATTATAAAATAATAATTTTTGTATCATATGATACAGCAATCCTTTTGTAGATATTTGTGTTAGACATCTTATATGTAACATTTCTATACAAGTGTAAAGGTTGATACACATTGAAAGACTGGCTAGCTTGCGTGCAGAAAATTATATTCTTGTCAATTGTTTTTATCTTTTTTTGCCCAGATTGCATGCATTTTAACCCTTGCACGAGAAGAATAAATATCGGGGCTTTTTTGAATAAACATCAAAGTTCTTAATAGTAACTTTTAAAAAGTTTGTTACAATTAAGAAATCAAGTGTAAAATGCCGTATAATTAAAGTAAAAATTGATCAAGAATGGTGCTGGAACTGGAAGTAGACCTATGCATTTTAATTGGTTGTTAGAGCGATGGCATTACTGTACTTTCAGAGTTGGCATTCTATCTCTGACGGACCAAGTGGTTGGGCACTGTTCCTTCATTCTCCCATCATATTCCAGTTTAGTCTTTAGTCTTATCTCTCCTAAGTGGTCTATAGTAATACTTACAGTACTATATCAGGAGAAAGCAAGTTTTCTCTTATGATTACATTATTTTTAACTTGAAATAATACATATAGTACAGTATATGGGAGCTATTTGGAGGTAGTTAATGTGCAGTATGTGTAAAAAGCAGTAGAAGACTTGCACTGTAGGGGAAAGGGCTCTATAAAATTGTCACTTTCATCCAGCGGTGATGCAGTCTGTGTCGAATAATAATCTTACGGATTTCCAACGGTGACGCAGTTTGCGTCTGGAATTACAATATTTGTTAAAATTCCATTTATTGTTTGATTATTATGGGACTCGTTTTAAAATACATACCTTTAAATTGCAAACAATTTGATACCAAAATGAACGAAGTAGCATGACAATTGAGGTCAGAACACTGGAAAGAGTACATATGTTAATGTGGGTGGGCGCTCCCAGGAGAGCTCATGGGAATCGCCGGGCACAGCTAGGAGTAGGTTGGGGCGTGCGCCGAGAGCGGGAAAGTGTTAACGTTGAAATTTATTGTTATTAATTTTACAGGTGGAGACATGGCAGAAATGTTGGTAACATCTGCTCTCAGAGCTAAAGAATCTCTTCCGGAACGCTGCCGCATCTTGGCTCGTGTGTTGGTGGCACAGGCAAAACGCAGATATTCCGAGACTGACAAGGCTAGTTTTTCGGCTCTTGGCTGGTTGTTTACACCATCTGGCAAACGATTCTTTGTTTCACACAAGTGGTCGTATGATGCTCATAGAGAGTCCATGTTCAGCCAACTTACAGACAAGGCTGATCCATTGGCTTATCTGCTGCTGTTGTATAGGTTGGTTATTAAAATTGTTGTATTATTAGTGAGGCCATTTTAACTCTAGGTTAACTGAATACTGTATACAAGAAACTCGTACATATTTCACATTTTATTAGAATGGTCTTCCCCCAGCTAAACACTTTTAAGCTTTTGGTTTTCTTCCACAATATGAGAAATTGCCGTTATAATTAGACAAAATTAACCTATTTGGGTCACCCCTTCTGAAATTCAGATTTGAGAAAATGCCAACTCTTGGAGGGGGGTGGCTTCGATGAAATCCATACCATGACGTAGAGTAATTTCCAGGAATTTGTATTATTCCATTTGATCATAGGCAAAATTTGATGTATACGTGTGGGAGTGCCCAATCAATAAGGAAGATTTGTTGGCCATGTTTAACATTTAGTCTGTTTTAATGTGGCTAATACTTGTCCCACCAGTGTCGTATATGGCTAATACTTGTCCCATCAGTGTTGTATATATCATTGCAACATTTAAGAAAACAAAATTTAGTAGTAACATTTTTTTTTAGTTTTCACTTGTATTAAAGCATTATTTATTTTTAATCTTGTCCTTGCATTGTAGAGAACATTTACTAGAGCGAGCAATAACAACCCTGGTGAACCCTGGCAATAAGGCAGATGATGTGTGTGAGGAAAATGCGCATCGTCGCACCCAAACTTCGGATGTATTAGAATACATCCATCTCTTGAATGAGACGTACAATGGCTCTGGAACTTCACTTGGTATTTTTTGTCGTGATGAGGTAGGTTATAGTCGCAGCTTTGTCATTTTACTATATTGTTTTAAAATTTGACGAATGGGCTACTTCACAAATAAAATAATAAGGCAATTATTTTATTTGTGAAGGCGATGAGTCACAATAACGTGGCTAAAGTATGTTGACCAGACCACACACTAGTAGGTGAAGGGATGATGACGTTTCGGTCCATCCCTGGACCATTCTTAAGTTGGTTGTGAATACTGAAAGATATACTGTACAGTATAAGTATATAAGAAAGAGCATGGAAAAAAATGAGAATCTTCAAATAACTTGGTTATTAAAACATAAAATAATGTACAGTACATACAATGAAGTGCCAATAATTCAGAAGCTTTAACAATTCTAAAACAGGTTTGTTAATGTATCAAGATTTTAAAGTTAAAAATGGTGACCCAAGCATTCAAATCTGCATCAGAAATATGGTTCAATTCGGTATTGGGATACTGGTTAATAACTTCATTAAAATATCTTACCATATTATGGCCTTGGTATTCCTTGAGAGAATGGGTTGAAATGACAATTCTGGCTGAACACAAAGAAATCACTATAGAAATCACCTTTTTATATATATATATCAATGAAAAGATCGATTACGACAATATGGGAGATTTAAACCAATGTTATAATTACTGCCAGATGCTTGGCATTTTTCTTGTGTTTTTGCTGCTTAATTAATCCAGTAACATTTTTAAATTTTCCTGTAATTATTTTTTTACAACGGTTTTGCACCGTCTTTAAATGATAAGAGGTAGATGTGCATTCTAGTTAGATCAGAAGCAATAAGGGTTCAAGGACCGAATCTCTTGAAACACAGCCATAGTCTCGCATTTCCTCTTGTGACCACTTTCTGCCTGTCGGGTATATCAATACTCGTTTCGGAAAGTTCCTTAATTTAACCTGCCTTTTCATTTTGTATACTAGTCATACCATAGGGAATATATGAAATCCCATTAGCTGTGATACCTTAACCTCTAGTTATTGAAAGACCAGGTCAGTGCTCATTTGTCTATAGCAGTGTAAATTTGGTGGTGCTTTTAATTTCACTAAAACATCAGATTTTGTAATGTGTGATGGTGTCAGATTTGTGTACATTGTATTTTGACCCGCGACAATTCTTAGTTACAATCGACTTGATAATGGTCCAGGATGGACCAAAATGTCGTCGTCTCTTCAATTTCTAGTGTGTGTGGTTTGTTCAACTTAAGAGATTTGACTCGCCACACTAAGGCTGTATCCAGGATTTATGCTCGGGGATCACATAGTCCATCCATAATTGTAACAAATTAAGACGTAATTAATTTTTATAAATTTGACAAAGCATAGTTGATAAATGTCTTTATTAGTACAGTACAGAAATTAACATAAAAAAACCTGAAATTTGTAAGTTGGTTTAGAGTAAAATAAAAAAAATATATATTCTTGTATATGTAATTTTTTTTATTTTTTTATTTTTTTTTTTTTTTTATAAATAAATTTAAATAAAATTTTGTGGCAGGTGTGCTGCTGGTGGGGTTCATTGTTTGAAGTTGTTGCACACTGGCTGCTGGGTGATGATGACCAAGCAGAATCCCTCTACTCCACAGTGGAGAATGTTCCCGAGGCTCTGAAAATTTCTGACGATCCTTTGCCAATGGCAGTGTTGTATGCTGCCAGGTGAGTACCTGGTATTGATGTTATTCTTGTTTGGTTCCCCCCCACCCCATTTTAGTTGGTTGGCAGCAGCAGTTATGGGTGGTTCGTGGGGAATGTAAATGGGTATTTGTACAACACTAACACCAGTCAGAATTGCCTCAAATTAACCAATAAATTGCGGATAAAGGCTTCCAGTTTAACACAGATTGGAATCGCAGCTTGGTAAGAATTAAGCCCGGTGTTAAGCCCGGACCCCTTCTCAACACCCAACTGCACCCTCTCCAAGCCCACAGGATAGATAAACATATTTGTAACAATCTGTTTATTTAAAAAAAAAAACATCCCCGACAGTCATAACAAATGATCCTGCCTTTTGACATTTACTCTAAGATCCAGTACTCCTGTTTGATAGAAGTAAGGATTTACACCTATATACAAGGCAAGAATTAACACTGGTTAAACAATAACTGAAGAACATTAACACGTGTACACCTGCACACAATCTTCTTACGGGTCACTCTTCCTAAATAACACCGAGTGAGCTGTAAGTGGCATTTTAAATTGAAAGAAATAAACATGAACATGGTGGCAGAAACTAGGATAGAACAAGACAGAAAAAATGTTGGCATAACTGACACAAGCTTCCTCACAGACTGCATGACCAAATTAAAACTGCTTGCCTCTCCAGGCAGCGTTCTTTAAAAAAAACTCGTACACTAACCATCCACATTCTTTAATGTGTTATGCCCAAATACTGTACTTGACCAGTCATTAAAATAACTATCCTACTGGCTGCTTACTATTCGACCACCAAGTACAAATTCTTAAATACAGCCAGTAGTATACATACTACGACTACTTGGTCATAGTATACCACCAGCACTTAATCATAACCATAAAAACAAAGGCTTCTATACATTTTTAGAATAGGTTCACCATGAATAAAATGGCCACTTCAAAAGTTATATGGAATAGTAACACTTCCAATGAGTTGTGTGTGCATGAGGTAGCCATTACTTTATTCGTTTATTAGTTAGTTTTGTACCATTTAATTAAATTCTCGTTTTATTAGTACTGTATTTCAGTATTTAATAAATGATGAAATTCAGTGACCCCATGGTCACTCCTCTTGTAAATTATATTATGTTCATAAATATGTTGGTGGGGGGGGGAGATGATGTATTCTAGTTTTAAGAACCGTGTTTGCAAGAAATACTAGCATAGAGAAACAAGGATTCCTTTCTTGATTGCCTGCAATTTAAAAATAATTGTATTTTGAATATTTACTGAAACAATTGCCTTTTCCCAGAGCACGACGTCAGCATGGTCACAGTTCTCCGTCTACGGTCCTCCGTCTATGTGAGCGTGCTGGCTCTGCACTGAGTGACTCAATACATCAGGCTTCGTACAAGCAACCAAACTCAATGGTCCAGGTTTGTTTCTCTTATTTTTGACATTGGGTAGGAGCTAGTTTGGGATTAATGAAGTACATAAAAAAAATGGAAAATATGATCAATAGAGTGCGATGCCTTTCATGTTCCCTAGACATAGAATATGTCCATAAAGTATGTACAGTCAATGCAGCTTGTCCTTGTAAAGAATGTCACTTTTCGCTCGTATGCATCAAATAAGGCCAAAAATTGTCGTACTAGAAAATGGAAGCGGCTCGCAAAAGTGATGTCTCCGGCGCAGGGGTTTCTGCTCTTTCGGTTCTGGTGGTTGGTTTGTTTGGTTGCAGCCTTCTTTTCTGGCAAAGAACAAGACGGCTGCTTTCCAGAGGGATCCTTGGATCGTTGATGCTTGGTTAGTCAGGCTGGGGATGCGCTTTGGGCTTATCTGGTTTCCCTCGTTCCCTGTTCCAGGGCTTGGATCTCCCAGGTCATCCACAGGATTATTTTAGTCTAGCCAGCCTGCAGTTTATCCTCGTGCCCATGACGTTAGGAAGTTTGCTGCATTGGCTGCCGTGTTTGGCAACATGTCTTGGCCTGATATTCGGGCGCAGGGATTCTGGAAGTTGAACAGGGTCCTGGCTGCCCATTATTTGATTATCCTGGCTGCATTCCTGTGTTGCTTTGGGTTGCAGGTTGTAGCCGGTTGTCACGCCTTCAGGTTGAGGAGTGTGTGGCAGCTGCCTCCTGGGTAAGTCCCTCTTTTCTTTATCTTTGTTTATGTAGCGCCATAGAGCCAAAGGGACTCCCCACAGAAAACCAGCATTGAATGTAATTAAAGGCCATTTTCTGGGTGAGCCCTGGAGGCTCCCTGGCAGCCCTCCCTCCCTCCGGTTGGCGATTTTTCGTGTTTGATGCTTAGCTGGGGGAGCCAGTCGGCCGAGCGGACAGCACACTGGACTTGTGATCCTGTGGTCCCGGGTTTGATCCCGGGCGCCGGCAAGAAACAATGGGCAGAGTTTCTTTCACCCCTATGCCCCTGCTATCTAGCAGTAAAATAGGTACCTGGGTGTTAGTCAGCTGTCACGGGCTGCTTCCTAGGGGTGGAGGCCTGGTCGAGGACCGGGTCGTGGGGACACTAAAGCCCCGAAATCATCTCAAGATAGCTTTTGAACTGGAGTACTGGGTAGCCGGCACGGGGAGGGTAGGACTGCATGGACGAGCTGCGCGGCAGTGGAGTGTGACGTTTGCTTGTTTCCTTGGGATTGGAGGGAGGTCTGCCTCTGTTTGGTTTTTCTTTGTACTTTTCTTACCATGTGGTGTTTTTATTATGTCTACCTTTCTGGGTGCCTAACCCAGGTAGATGGCAGATAAGGAAAACTCCCAACCACGGGGGTTCCAGGGTCATTGCTACCTGCAACCTGAGGGGGCCAGGCTCTGGCTCGTGGTCCCCGGTAGGTCGAACTCTATAGACTAATGCCCCGGTCTAATATATCACACATGAGCCCGATAGCTCCAGGGAGTCTTCCAAGGCTCACCCAGAAAATGGCGTTTCATTACATTCAACACTGGTTTTTTCTTTTTGGCATGTACTGATAATGTCCGTTGTAACCCTTGGAATGTACAAGGGGTTAATGTTTTAAATGTTTATGCATGTCTAGAAACCACTGTCAACATGGGACTTGCCTCTGACAAGGATGCATTGTAGTTGCATTGCAGAGCCATTATATTGCAGTGCTTCTGCATTGCTTTCCTTGAGAGTTGGCTTCAGCAACAGATCTACATGATAACATTTCGAAAATGTACAAAAAAGTAACCTTAGTAATATATGGGAACTGTTTTATAGTACAGGACTTCTGCATAATTAATATTTAATTTTATTTTTGTAGAGTGTTCAACTGATAGTGGTGGACTGGCTCCTTGGCGTGCGAACCGTCGTGTGGGAGGGGGAGTGTGTTGCCGACTGTGATACGTTGACAGTAGCACCAGCACACGTGCTTCAGGGATTCCAACATGATTTGGCCTTGCTGCGGAAACTTGTTCAGCATATTCCTGTAAGATGGATTCTTAAATTTAGCTTGGTCTATACATGAATTTATTTAATGTTTATTTGTGAATATTGTCTGTGTAGATGCATGATTTATGAAAGAGAAAGTTTCAAATGAATAACCTGTGCAATCATCGCTTGTTTATAGGGTGTACTTGCTCGGGTATTCCTACACGAAGCAACTCTGCGAATGATGGCTGGTGCCTCACCTGCTAGAACACAACAGTTGCTGGATAGGTCACTGAGGCATAGATCCAACAAGTCATCTGTGATTTGTGGAAAAGGTGGGTATTTTATACATAAACAAAGGTTCTTTCTTACACAAAATTTCTCATCTTTAGAACATGATCTCATCCCAAACTTGGCCTGCATGCTTTATAAATCTATTCTCACAGCATTATAACAGTGTTTTCTACCCAAACAGATAAGAACCTCAATGGTTTCACCGGCGATCGAGAACATGCTACGGCATTGATGTTGGCCTGCAGACACCTTCCATCGCCTCTTCTTTCTTCTCCAGGTGAACGAGCAGGGATGCTGGCAGAAGCAGCCAAAACCCTTGAAAAAATAGGGGATAAAAGAAGACTTCAAGACTGTTACACTCTTATGAAGAGCCTTGGTAATGGAGTGTCTTCATATGGTTAAGTGTAATTATTTTTCCGTCTAACTTTTATGTACAGTATTTTCAGAATGGAATAGAGGTAAAAATAATCGCTTATTACTGTTATCCCGGTATGAACATGTATCTGACATTTTAAACATGTTAAAGAACATTTTCTTATATTAGGAATGAGTTAGGATTTGTGTTTGGTGGAGAATTACATTTAATGACCAAAGAAATTAAATTGTGAATAATTGTACCTGTTTCACATAGTGTTAGGCATTTGAATGTATATAATGTATATTATATTTTTTAACTTTCAAGAGAGCATATTTATCCTACAACAGTAAAATTATCATACACCAATACTTGCAGTATTCAATTGTTTATGCAAAATATTCACTGTCATTGTGATAAACATATTCTACCTTAAAAAAAAAAAAAAAGAAACACTCCAGTGTCGCCTTGTGGTGGTGAGGGGGCTCGTGTACGACTCCCTGGGGCCGGTGAGGGTTACCTCGCTTCACCTCCCTCGCCTGGTGTTGTATACACTTGAGTACACCTGTATGGATCTGTAGGGAGGCAAGGTCAACAGACCTCCCTGCCTCTGCAGTAGATGTTGGAAGTTTGGACATAGTCTCTTTACTGAGACTTAGTTTGGAATGCTCTCTTTACTAAAAATGGAAATACAGTAGTTAAAATTGATATAATAAGTCTCTTGTGTGTCAACTGATGTTTCAACACTAGCGATGCACTAACGTCCCCATAATAAAAGTATTTGAGTGATCAGGAGTCAGGTCACTAGATTCATAGAAACCAATGACCTCCACAATCCAGGCCAACATGGATTCATAGCAGGAAGATCATGCCTCTCACGGCTACTTGACCGTTACGACAAAATAACTGAGGCATTGGAAGAAAAACAGAATGCAGATGTTGTATACACAGACTTTGCAAAGGCATTCAACAAATGTGACCATGGAGCGATAGCACACAAAATGGGTATAACTGGTAAAGGTTATACCCATTTACCGGTTATTCCCATCGACTTCATTTTATATGCTATCGCTCCATGGTCACATTTATCGAATGCCTTTGCAAAGTCTGTGTATACAACATCTGCATTCTGTTGGATATCCACTAGGGAGAGTCCTGCCTTAATCAGGATATTGGATGTCCACTGGAGAGAGTCCGGCCAGAATCAGGATGTTGGATGTCCATTTGATGGAGTTGTACTTGAATCGGCATGTTGTTTGTCCTCTGTTGAGAAACCTGCCCTCATTATGAGAAACATATTGGATATGTAAGGATGAGGGGCATCCTACCTCATCTTCAGGATGTAGAATACCCACAGGCGTAACCAGGATATAGGAGTTCCACCGAGGGGAATGGTTCACGAACCGTCAGACTATGTAACTGCTCATGGTGCTAGAACCATCAGACTATGGAATTATTTATGGTGCTAGAACCATCAGACTATGGAATCATTTATGGTGCTAGAACCATCAGACTATGGAATCGCATATGGTGCTTAAACCATCAGACTAAGAAATTGCTTATGGTGCTAGAACCATCAAACTAAGAAATAGCTTATGGTGCTAGAACCATCAGAGTATTAAATCGCTTATGGTGCTAGAACCATCAGAGAATTAAATCGCTTATGGTGCTAGAACCATCAGAGTATAAAATTGCTTATGGTGCTAGAACCATCAGAATATTAAATCACTTATGGTGCTAGAACCATCAGAGTATTACATCGCTTATGGTGCTAGAACCATCAGAGTATTAAATCACTTATGGTGCTAGAACCATCAGAATATTAAATCACTTATGGTGCTAAAACCATCAGAATATTAAATCACTTATGGTGCTAGAACCATCAGAGTATTACATTGCTTATGGTGCCAGAACAATCAGATTATGGAATAGCTTATGGTGCTTTATGTGTAACACCGTAAATAGTGTTGTTTAATATTTTACATACAATGAGAGAGTCACACAGGATATTGGTGGTGCTAGGCAGTCGGTCTTAGCAAATCAAGTCACATCTTTTCAAGTGTTAATTGTTCACGCGTTGATTAGAGGTCAGGTCAGATCAGGGACCTCGCTCTCTGCTAAGCTTAGGTCTTTCAACATATGTGTTGAAAGACCTAAGTCTGGTTGGTGCTGAGACACCGGAAGTACAGCAGAAAAGTCAGCCCCAAACAGCGCCAGTGAACCGGACAAATGTGTTGGTAAAAAAAGTCGCCTTTAATTCATCAGGCGACAGACAGCCACACCAGCACTCAGGACTCCGGCAGTGACAGTGTAACGGTGAGTGAAGTGGTTACTGGGGCTCAGAAAGGTGGCCATAATGGTATTGTCAAGGTGGTGTGGGCTGAAATAAGTTTAGTTGGTGAGTTCTTACGAAATCTTGAGCAGAGCATTGAGTCCATTGAGGCAAAATTAAACATTCAGAAGAAGGTAAAGGAAAGTAACAAAACAGTAGTTACGGAAAATTAGGAAATAGTGGTCGAGGACAATAATGAAACAATGAGTGATAAAATGAAGGAAAGTGAAGTATGTAAATGATGGTTGGGGGCCAATAATGGACGTCAAGGACCTGAAAAAATACTCGAGAAATGCAATGGTGCTTTTACCGGTGAAATTGGGAGGTGGTGGAAGACATTATACAATGAATGACAATCATTTAATGAACTTCTCGGGGATGAATTAGAACGCAATTTTTTTAACAACGGATCACCCTGGACTGAAAATGTTGTCATGGAATGTTAATGGATTGAAAAACAGAGTTACATATGTTTTCATTGTTGTGTGTTGGGAAATTAATATTGATGTTGTAGCTCGACAGTAGACAGAAGACATTAAATATCTATAAAGGGTTTCACCTTTTCGCCACAAGTATCATAAGTGGGACGTCGATTTATGTCAACAACTCCATACCAGCAGAGTTAATAGAACCACCGTCAAAAACACAAGGTATAGAGAGTGTGTGTGTTAAATTATCATTAAGGGAAGGGGAATTTATTGTAGTTAATTTTTATGTATCCAGGAACTGCTTCGACCCTCACTATCTACCCGACTGCATTTATACTAATCCTTCACTGATCATTGAGGACCTTAATGCTCGGCACACAAGCCTTGGGACAGTGGGACGTATTAATACTAATGGGGTCAAGAGGTTACAGTTTCTACAAGATCATCCAGATACCTGTCTCTTGGGAAACACTGAACCAGTTCACATCAGTGGAGAATGACTTGACTATGCCTGCATTTCAAATTCTCAGGGGATTATGGGGATTGCTCAGGTTGTTCGAGAACTACTTAGTGACCACTTTGCCTTGTATGTTGAATTGCCAATGGGGAAAAAAACAAGTCCACTTTCGAAAGAAAATATTAAATATTGTAAAGAAAAATTATTTTATTCAAAATACAGAAGATTGGTATCAACAATACCGTTGATACCAATACTCTATGCGTTGATAGCTTTTACGAGGACATAGTTGAGAACATAGATAAATTAGTACAGAGGGAAAATAACAGGGGCAGGGGAAGCAAGACACATGGGCCTAAGAAATTTAAATATTCCAATGATCAGCAAGTTAAGGGGTGGGAGAGAATGCTACGGAGTGCACACAAAGAATTGTTAAAAATGGAATGAGGGTTTAAGGGAAAAATTACAATGTTGGAAGTGGCTAGGGAATGCAGTCAGGTAAGGATGGAAGGAAGCACAGGATAGATACAGTACTGGCAAGACTTTGCTCAGTCCATTGGTAATACTAAGAACCTTAAAGACTATGGAGACCAGTAAACAAAATCAGGGGGTGTAAGCCCAAATTCATAGCTCACTCAGATCCAGGGAAGGTTGCTAATGAGCTAGTAGATAAATGGGCAAGTGCTGCTGGTATGTAGTCCTTATCTGAAGACACGAAAAACACCATTGATTCGTGGGAAAATATTAGAAGTGGAGTAAATTTATGTGCTTTAAATACAGGATCAGTAACATGCACTGAGATAACTTACGATGAGCTATTTGATGCTATAAAAACTGGTAGCTCTACTACTCCAGGAGAGGATAGAGGATAGAAGGATAGATAGATATGAAATCCTTAATTATTTAGCTGGTATGGAACCTAGTCCCTTACTTCATTTGTTTACATGAGTTATAGGGAAGGAAAGTTACCAAGAAAATGGAAGGAGGCTGTCATCATTCCTATACACAAATCAAATGGCGGTTACAGGCCTGTATCCTTAACATCCTGCTTTTGTAAAATTACAGAAAGAGACTTGTTAAATAGGCTACTCTACCTCGTAGGAGATAACATGCCCAATAACATCTTTGGTTTTATCAAGGGCAAAAGTACTGCAGACTGTCTCAAAGTGTTTGTCTAATGTGAATGACAATTGTAGAGGTTTTGTTGATCTACAAGGAGCATTTGATAAAGCCAATTGGGAAGTAATCTTTTACAAATTAGCCAATCTGGGAATAGCAGGGAGTTGGCTACATTGGATACGAGATTATCTACAGGGGAGAAAAGGTCAAGTATATTACCAAGGATACATGTCTGAGGAAAGGAGGTTTCAGTTAGGTACCCCCCAAGGGGGAGTTTTAAGTCCCACCTTATTCAATGTATTAATGAACAGACTAGCATCAGAGATGTATCCTCCAGGGGTCACGACAATCATATATGCTGATGATATTCTTATACAAGACACTGCTGGTAACATAATTCAAACTGCTCTTAGCATACTTAGTACAACCTGTCACAGGTTAGGCTTAGTTATAACTGCAGACAAAACCAAATATGAGTATAGGAAACGAAGAAATATAACACTAAATGGTAAGGATCCGAGTCATGTTCAGAAGTAGTAGGCATCCATCAGTCTCAGGAGACTGGAGTAGCGCTCTGGTTGTTGGTCTAGAGTGGCCTCTCCAGGGCGCAAAGCCAAGGTAGGTAGATACTGGGAAGAAGCTGTCACTCATGCAGCTTGGGTGACTATGCATGTACATACATGTACAAGTATCTGGTCATGTATGTTGGATACACATGCGAGAGTAAAAATGCTGAAATAAATCATATCAGCACCTTATGAAAGGGCCACCTTCATCCTCTAAAGGCACTAGCATTTTCTGGTATAAGTGTTGGGGTACCTATCTGGAAATCCCTCCATTGCAAGCTGCATCAAATTCACAAACAAAACCCAAATCTTATCAAGCAGAGCTACACTAGGAATGAAACAAGCATTGTAAAGTAAGTCCCTTAACATGTTAAACATACTCGACACATTCTCGTGTGATATCTACATGTACAAAATCTTGTTCCTAGATGCTAATCTTGATTTGAAACTTTTCCATGATAGGAGTAACAAAACCCATGAGCACCACACCAGAAATAAATCTCTCTGATATTCCCAAAACTTAGACTAAATCTGTTCAAACACTCCATGCAAATAAAAGGGCCCAGTCTTTGGAACTCCCTGATGAATTAAAAAATTGACCAACCCATGCCCTACTCAAAAGTAAAACCAAAAAGTATCTAATTTCATCCTCATTGTTTCCTACTTTGTGCTTCAAACTCTATCTTGAACTACCCACTTCCCCAATATTAGTACTTAAGACATATAACCTTACCAGTGTAATCATCTCTGTCAACTTATATTGTAATTATTTGCTAATTTAAAATCTTGCTACAATGTATCTTTTCATCTTACCTGATACAGTATGTTAAATTAAGGACCTGCCCAAAATGCTAAGCGCATTGGTGGCTTTCCAAGAATGTAAAAATACAGTACCAATCTTATATAATCTCATCAACCCATTGTACCTTCTTGCAAATAAATTATTATGAACATTAGCAGCATAGGAACTATGAGCATAATTGACATAAGTACTGTACTATGATATCCCGAGGACAGGTTGTAAACTCACGTTGGACTCTTTACCAGAGCCTGTGCTCCTTTTGGGTGATTTTAACTGTCGGCATGCCTTCTGGGGCGGTGATCTGATGAATACCTGTGGCCGCCTTCACGAACCTTGCATTCTGTCTTCCGTCTTTTTCTGAATCCTGGTGAGCCACCAATGTTGGTGCCCACTCTTGCACCCTTTCCTGTCTTGATCTTTCTCTGTTCTATTTATTTAGCGCTCACCTGGAGGGTTCTTGACCTCCATAACAGTGACCATTTCCCCATTCTTGTATCCTCCTTTTCTTTCCACCCTCTTTCCTTTCTTAAGTGGCAGTTTGATAAGGCTAACTGAAATCTAATCACCCTCCATGCTATTCTTTCTGACCTATCTGATCTGCCTCTCCCTCATGCTCTCCTATTTCATGACGCCTTATTCGATGCTGCCCTCCAATCTATTCCCTGTTCTACCTCCCGAGGGACAGGGAATTGCATTCCCTGGTGGAATTCGGACTGTGCTTGGTCTGTCCGCTCTAAGTGGGCAGCCTGAAAAAGACACCAGCACTGACACACCTGATTCTATTATTTTGTTTTGGAAGACGAGTCCATATGGCTAGGCGTGAGCTGGAAATCATGTATCTCTAGTCTAACAGCCAAGACCCCCTCTCCCTCGGATCTGGAAGAAAGTCCACAAGATAGCGGGTAAATGTTTCACCTGTCCTTTACTTCCATGGTTCTGTCGTAGCAGATCTGGTGTCTGTCACAAATGAACTTTCTCAGTTTTTGACTGTTAGCTCCTGTTCTCATCTTTCTCCTAATTTTGCTGCTTGCAAACCCCTTATTGAATCTTATTCCTTCGCCTTTTGCACCCATGCACAGCTTTCCTATAACTATCCCTTCTCATTATCAGAATTCTAGTATGTCCTGACCTTCTGCAGTTTTACAGCAGCAGGTGCCGATGGCATTTATTATGAGAATTTATAATTTGCCTTCTTGCACCTTTTAGTGTTTACTGAACATTTATAACAATATTTGAGAGTGGGTCCCAGAGGACTGGGATGAGGTACTGTAGTTGTTCTTCCTGTTCGAGAATCCGGTACCCGCAAGACTTTCCCTTAGAATTTCTGCCCCATTGCGTTTGACCATACATTCAAAAAGTTTGCAATGTAAGTCTGATGTGATTTCTAGAACATTATCATCACCTCTTCCCTTCTCACTTTGGAATTCCTAAGTGTTGCAGCACAACTGATGTACAGTGCTAGTGGCCTTGGAAGTCTACATTCATTCTGCCTTTGCTGCGATGACCTCTGTTGTTGCCATCGTTTATTATCTAGAAAAGGCTTATGACATGATTTGGAGATATCATATTCTATCCCAACTCCATTCTTTGGGCCTTCATAACAATCTCCCTCTTTCTTAAATGCTTCCTCTCCAGCCATTCATTTAAAGTGAGACTTGAGAGCTCTTTCTCCGACTCGTTTCAACAATACAAATGAGTTCCCCAAGGTAGTGTCCTGAGCAATACTCTTTTTCCTGGTCAACTAAGACCAGTGCTATTCTTACTCAGCAGCAGGTCATTCTTTGTTCCCTTCTGTTGCTATACGGTAGTTCTCTTCTATATAGAAATTCTGCTAAACTTTTGGGGTTGATCTTTGACATACCATTGTCTTGGTCTGCCCATATACCTTGCCTCCGAATTAAATGTGATTAGCTTAAAGTCTTCCACTATGACAAAGGAGCGCTGATGACGAAAGCAATTGATGAAGGGCATACAATGTAGCATATAATTCAGCCATGAAGATGCTAGCCGGCACATATAGGTCTGGAAAGACAACCGAGTTTCCAACACCGTCGGCAGATTTGGACCCATCTGTGAAGAGGGCAACAGAATGTGAGTGCGAAGAAAAATGTTCAAGGAAAAGGTGCTTTAGAACAAGAGAAGGGGTAGAAGTCTATCACATGGGTAAAAGACTTGCAAACCTTCACAAGTGGGACCCACCGACACGATGAGAGTCAAAATGAACTGAAAGGGAAGATTATAAGCGAGACATTCGAACAGAAAAAGGAAGGTGGTCAAAGGTAACAAAGCGACTGAGAGGGCAACAGCCAAAGCAAGGTAAATAAAAGGGAGAATGAGGATGCTGCAGAGGCCTCAAGAAGTAACGAAGGTAGTAACAATTTCAATGATCCTGGAACAGCAAGATGTCCATTTTATCATAAAAGCTCTGGACAAAAGGCATCAGAGTTGAGGCACAACTCAGCATGGTGCAGAGCATCAAGACTGCATTACCAAAGGAGAGGCAGAGAAGTAGGCAGGGCAGCCATAATCCAGTTTAGATTGTGCAGGTGAAAAGTGCAAATAGAGGAGTATATGTATCAGCTTTCCAGGAAGTATGAGACAAGACCTTAAGAGCTTGAGAGCATAAAACTCTGAGGTAAAAGATGGGGGCAACCAAGACAAACGAGTGTCAAAGATTAACCCCAAAGTTTAGCAGAATCTTTATACAAAAGCCAAGGAATACCACCTACCAGGGCAGCTAGGGAGGTAGAGCATTGTCCAGTGCAGAAGGGTGCATTGTCCCAAGCAGTGCTCCTCTTTTTTAATGAGAGTCTTACTCGGCATACATTCTCCCACGCTGGTGCAAAGACCTCTTTTCTCCCTTTGGCCTCAGCCTGGACACCCAACCATCCACCAAGGGGAGCCCCCTCCAGCAGGAGGTCCACTGACCCCAAAGAGATCCCTATGGGTGTGTACCCACAATACATACAGCACACGGAGAGGGAAGCCAAGGTAACTCTCACCGGCCCCATGGAGTCGTACGTGAGATTCCAATCCTTTAGCGGAGTGGGGAGACTCCTCTTTATGCTCCGTCTAGTAGACGGAGCATGAAGAGCTAGATTTTGCTCCTCTATAAACTCATTAGATAAGCACACAATCCATAGATTATTATACAAGTGCAGCTTGGGAAATTATAAGATGTAGAACAAGAATGAACAGTTTATGCACAAACAATACTGTATAATTATTTCCATAACAAACCAACTCAAAACCAAAATGGATAGGACATTAAAAGCCTGTTCAGTGCAAATTATTTTTATTATTTTTGCAATAATAATTATTCCTTAAAACATTTCCTGTCTCATTAAGCTGATCATAGAGGATCAAGAGTATCACAAGGAATAACTGACACACACACACACACACGCCGCTCTCTACAAGTGCTTCAGGCGTGACCCTCATCAGCCTCTCCCCCATCCACAACTCGTCCCCCAACCCACCCTAATATCCTCCCTTAACCCACCCCATTATCCCATATTTCACCTTTTCCCTTAAAGCTCAAGGATCAAAGTGATATTTTTTCCAAAATCAATCCCACCCGCCTTAGGACTACAAGTCCCTGTAGCCCTAGGAGCAACAGGAAGCAGTTATGTGTAAATATGGAATGCCAGCTGTCTAGTTACACCAATATAACAGTCAATAATGCCCTATATTTAAACTCTGAAGACTTTCTGCCTAGATGGCTTCACACATTCAAGACAATGTTATACCATAATGTAGTTAAAATTTGACTGGTGCACTAAGCTGATGTGTGAGGATTGCAGCAGTCCCACACACACTCACATTGTTGCCTGCTGCTCATTGTGTTGGTGGGGGAAGGCCATAATGTGGGACAGGTAACACATGGCAGAAAAGAGATTGGCTCACTCACTAGGGTGGCAGGATTAATTTTGGTCTGCTATTGGTGTGGGTGACAGCTTAAGACTTCCCTAACTCTCACTGCTACACAACCATGACTACCACAGCTATAGGATACATGACTGCTGTGCCCTGGCCATCACCCTACACCATCACCCACTTAATATTTGTCTACACTCTCCGTACATATCACAAGTCGGAAAAAAGTAAAAGGCTTGTCGTCTGCCTTTAATAGCAGTAGTGACAATGCCACTGATTCACTCCAATTGAAAAGCACACTGCTTTTATCAGTAAAATCAGTACTGTAGTTTTAACATAGTTCAGGAAGGCATGTGGACTGTTTCATCGCCATCCATCAAGACCAAATTATACGAATCTGTTAACTCTTAACAAAGTTGAATTTTATAGACGAAGTAATGTCATCATAAGAACACAAGTTTTTAGAAAATGCATTAATATCTGGGCTATAGGGATTTTATCATGCAGTTGACAGAGGAACAAGTACTGCTTACTTTTTACTTCCAAAATATATTTTGCTAAATTTAGTGCCACAATTTTGGCAACAAATGAAACTTTGGGAAAACCAATCCTGAGTTATAAAGCTTAGGAAGGCGATGCTTAAGATGGCGAGTGTGAACCTTGGCGGCTCCTGCATGCTCCAGGTATGCACCAATGTTGCCTCCTCAGGCTCCCCACAATTCACCGTCACAACTTGCCTCATCTCGACCAGGAGATGCTCAAGAGGCCTCGACCAGGCCTCCTTGACCAGGAGGCCTGGTCGAGGACTGGGCTGCGGGGACGCTAAGCCCCGAAATCATCTCAAGATAACCATCTCAAGATCTATCACAATCTGTAACATCACTTTTTATCCTGTAAACATTGCTCTGGGAAGCTGTAAAAGACAGATTCACAATTTATGATATGCTGGCTGTCTTTCATAGCAAGATGCATAAGAGCTGTGAGCTGCCCTGGGCTTATAAAGCACACTAATATTGGGGCTCACACCTAATGCTCCACAATATTCATGCCAGGGTTGTGACTTCTTACTACTAACATCACCATAACTCTGCATTATATACATCTCAGTCAAACTGATAAAAGGAATATACCTGTCATCAATAATAATATTTCACTAGGCAAACAACATCAGCATATACATTCTAATATATTCAGCATATCACTCCAGCAATCCTTGCCTGTAAGATCTCTTAATTAGAAATTGATCTCAACCTATTAAACGAGATAAAAATAAATAATTACACAGTACATAATTCACTAGGACAAATAAATTCCCTGCAACAGCCTGGTCTAGGAGCAGTTTGGTTATGGCAAGAAGAGGAAGGTTGTGACAGTAAAAGATTACCAGGTTATGCTTGTCGCCACTAACTCCAGGGGGGACTTTCTTCAAAATCCATAAAAATTGTAAGTCGGCAAGAATTTGTACAAGTGCCAGGATAAATAACAAAAATAGTTTTTTTTCTCAAACTCCCAGGTCATGCTATTCATAAACATGAGAAAATACAGCATGATTTAATATTGTACTATGATTTAATTAATAAAATTTAATTTCTCCCGTCAGTGCCCCCATGGTCATGTTTGTGTCACTTTTACACAAGACGTATTGCCTGTAGAAGCATAAATACTATCACAATCTCCTTTTCTACAACAATCTAGTCAAAATATCTCGGATAATACACGGGCCCTCACACAAACACGACCACAGCTGTAGTAGTGCAACAGATGCCATAAACGCTGATAAGCGACCTATAGTCTTTAATAATCTATTTGGGAAGATACTATCGTTACTCAGAATATGCACGACTCTTCTAAAACTGCTAAAGCTAACCAGTACAGTGTCTTATGCTTCACATTTGCTGAGGTAATTATTAGCAGGTTTTGTTCATTGAACATAATTTCCTTATGATCAATCCCTTTCTCGCTTTATAATTAAGTAAGTACATATTTAAATAAAGAAAGGTACATTGAACCTCTCTTTAATACATAAGAAATGGTTTAATACAAAGGAATTATGTGCTTATCACTGAAAATGATATAATATATGTGTGTACTGGTAACTAATACAACATAAATGCTTCTGTGCTCTCAGTGTAAACCAAAGTCAAATAACAATACAAGTCAAATAATAGAACTAAAACATTTCTTGGGGAAGTTTGTACTGCATATGGAAAACTAACAGGAAACACATCACATGTCGACTAGTAAGGACTTAAGAAGCCTACTTACATAAGAAAAAATAGAAACTTGGCTGGAAATTTTCTTTTAGTAATCACAAAACTTATCAGTATAGTTTTGAGAAATAATTCCCTGCCAAGCACCTGAACATGAACCAAACACCATTGCATTTTTATTTGATGATAACCAAACCAACTTGATAAAAATATTTTTGTTTTATATATACTGTAACACTAAAATCACAAGAATAAAAGTTTGCATCCAAACTCTTCTTGACAATCATTTTGCATCTACTTAAAAGCTTGCTGATGGCCATGTGTTCACCTTGGTTGACTTGCTCTCCACGAGTCTAGGTGAAAACAATGCACTTTATGGTGAATGTGTGCTCATGTGATAACGCAGGATAAATATAAATAGTATTTGTATAGCAATAGTTATGATCTAGGGACTTTACAACACATATGTACACAACATATTTCTAGGAACCCCTGCCTGGCCTCTCCACCAGCCATAGATGACACCATCACACATGGATAAGGCTAAGGTGCGGCACCAGTGTGTGCTCACTGACTACAAGGGTCAGGGCATGGGGTGGGGGCCAGGCCAGGGTACCCGCATACATTGGTTAAACTAGCTCGAGGGATTACTATGGCCGTGTGTCTGGAACCGCTTCTGTACCCAGGAGTAGGGGCCCAGACCCTCCTTCTGCTGTGTCTTCTGCTGCAGGTGTTAATCCACTACTACTGTCATTGCTGACTGTAGTGATGTCTGCTGTATATGATAGCTGCTGTTCCTGAGGAGTGGAACAGTTGCCACATTCACCCTCGGATGATAAAGTGCTATATGTTGCAGCTGTAGTAGCATCACTGTTGCTCATGTTTGGACTAGCACTACAGTCAGGACCCCCTACTTGACTACAACTTATGGTGGTGGATGGTGTGGTTGTGGAATTGGAGGAGGATGCTGGTTCACTCTCTGGATGAAGTTTTAGAGCCACAACAAGATCATGCAGGATCTCCGTCTCTTTCTCATCAATGAGTCTAAAGCGGTCATTGAAGAGTATGAAGTGCGCAAAAATACAATTAAGGTGGGCATGCAGGTTGAGCAGCACCATCTCACGGAAGTGGCTGTGATACAAGTGGGCCAACACGTGGAACAGCAACCGATGGATTTTCTTTACAATAGACTCGAAAGAAACTGGGAAGTCGTTTTCTGAAATATGACAGTATATAACTAAGAGAACACTAAAAATACCAAGAATTGTGTTACACAGTACAACATACATAATACAATGGAATCAACTTTACTTCAATGCTAATACAGTACCTGGCTAAGAATGTGCAAAATATGGACATAAAGTTGACTCAACTTTAAATTATAGATTCAAACTATAGATTCAAAGGGACTCTCCAAATTCAGGGGGATCTGTAACCTATTATCTCTTTTGCTAGGATTACAATGCAACTCAAAATGCCATAGATTATTGTATATACTTCAAATAAGAACTAGATATGCTTTAATTATACCTCATAAAATGAGGTACAGTAGCCCTGTCCCTCAGACCACCACATTTGATGCAACAAGGGAATGCACTGATTACAGAACATTCTGATGAATACAGTGAATATAATAAATATAGAATATTTGAATATACAATATGGAGAATAATGAGTACAAAATGCACAAGCAAAATAATATAATGATTTCATGTATACAACATGGAGTATTACGAGTTCAAGTGTATTATATGTACAGGACGTATGAGAAAATAAGATAAGTTGAAAGGTACACGAGTTCAGGAAGTACTGTACATTGTAATGAACACATGATGGTTTTGGGAGGATTAGGTGATGGTTTTAGCAGTGGTATGTCACTGCTAAATATGATGATCATGAGGGGGTGGTGGTGGTAATAGTGCTGTTAGTGCTAATTGCGACAATTGTACTTTATAATAATGGTGGTAACAATAGTGCTGCTGGCAGAATATGATAACGATGGTAGCAGAGAGGTAGGTATATAAGGTGATGGTAGAGTAATCCATTTTTAATTAATGGAGGTAATGGGGGCATCTGCTGTTGGTCGTGACCATAGTGGTGGAAGAACAAATTAAAATAAGAATTATGAAGGGGGGGAAGAAGATGCATTTCATAACAGGAGTGTACAAAATCAATTGGCTAGATAGAAAAGATGCCAGTTATATACTTATTTCAATTTTAAAGGCAATCAAAGTTTAGCCAGAAAGATGTAAATTAAAATAGCAGACTAATTATACACAGTAGCACAAAAATAGATGACCATTCTATAGCACACTACAGTAACTTGGTAATTCAGAAACTTGAATATTAACCAGATGGTAACCCACACCTAACTTGTTATCATGAAGAATTTGTAACTTTAAAATTCTTGTAATGAACAAAATTTACTTTGTATATGGTACGATTTTAGGAGATATTCCAATAATAAATAAAATATTTAGCTCAACACTTCTCATTGAAATAAAAACAACAGGAATATATATTCTGAGGCCGTATGATGGAATTGAACCTGTGTTCCTGAACTCAGCCCATCCTCCTGTTTTGATAGTACAATACAGTGCTTATAGTAACGATGAGGACTATAGTGTATATATATACCGACATACAACAAAATTATGAAGTAGAAATTGGAACTATTCAGTTGGACAAACCGGAAAACTATTTTTTTACTTGTTGCAAAGTAAAACTAAATTAACCTAACCTAACATTCCTAGGCCTAATATAGTACATGTGTGCTATTCTAGGCCTAGGAATATTTAAGTTTGTTTTTTTAGCTTTATTTTAAAAGAATTCCTTACTAGTCAGCACAGTATACTACTATCTAAAAGCCGAGTACGTACGAATTCGTGACTATTGACGACCGTCACAATAGATAATATCTAAACAGGAGGATGGGTAGTACTCCCTACTGGACGTCCAGGGACACAGGTTCAATCCCATTATACAGCCTCAATATTTATTCATAGATTCATTCTTGTGATTTCATTGTGCATAACAAACACATTTGCATCTATTGTATTGCAAAACTTCTTGGGGGTATTGTTTGCAATCGAGACTACCATTATTAGTTTTCGATACATCACTCAAGATCACCTCCCTCCAAAGATTTTTATTTACATTATAAAATCTGCCATGAATACTACACATGGCTCAATAATATGGATATTTCTTGTGCAATCATAATCATTATGTCTTGAAAGTTTCATATTAATTTGTGAAAATGTCCTCCAAATATTAATGGGGCAGCAAATTTTGAAGACAAAACTAAGTGATAACCTTTTTTTTAACGTCTTTTAGTATTCTGAATTAAACTTATTTCAAAGGAGGGTCTACCCTGAAAATCATTTTGAGGCAATGGAGTGACTCACGCCTGCTTTCTGGTGAACCCCAGACACCTGCCCTAATCAACTCGGCCATGTTGACACAAAAGCTGACCAACCCAGAACTCTGCTGAATTCACAGTGAGATTCCAGAGGGGCCCCAAACCAGAGCCCAACCAGGACTCCGGTTGACCTGACCTACACTCTTGACCTACAATACAGTTGACCCGACTACACTCTTATGGCACTCTCAGATTACAGAAATCATAATGGCATGATATATTAATAAAAATTATTGCGGCAATGAGGCGACTCGAATCTGCTGTTTAGGGGAGGTGTCTGGGATTCATCAGAACGCAGGTTGATTCAATCCATTTCCTCAAAATAATTTTGATTGATGTATCATACCATTGTGATTTCTTTGTGAGGGCCTATCACCTTGCAGCAAAGAGCATTCTATCTTCAAATTATAATGTTTTTCAAAAGCAAAGCATTAGAAAAATTCAGGTAACCTAGACTGTTACATCTCTAATCAGTTAATAAATGAAGACAAAATATTCACACACAGTTAGATACTGAAGAGTATGGTACAAACAGATATGAACATACCAAATTTTGTAGGGAAGATTGACTCGTCGTTAATGGTCTTCTGGGTGAAGGTCATGACGTAGTCAACATACTGAGGTGCTGCGACTCTGGTTTTCTTGCCTTTCTCATCAAACCACAGGTACTGCCTGGTGGTGGGCCCCGTCATGTCTGGACACCCACTCATTGTGCAGTACTCACATACTGTTCCGTACAACAGGTTGATGTGTTGAAAGAAGTCGATTGCTGTAACAAAGTATTTATCTTAGTTTTTGTTTCATACATTAGAATAAGGGAATATTAAGATGCCATCCATAATTATAACCATTTCCATTTTTTCTCCATTGTTTGACACATGTAACCTAGTATAAGTATTAATGTAAAGTAGTCAGTGGGGTCCTGGTGGTAGTAACACTACCATAACGGTTGTTGTGGTAGTGTTGGTTGTGGTTGGGATGGTGGTTACAGTGACTGTGGCGGTAGTTGGCCTACATGAGCCTTCCTGATGACACCATACAAGTACTACAAGTTTCAAAGTGATGCATGGAGGCATTCTCCTGATATAATACAAGCACTAATTTTCTTATAACAAATTAACAAACCCATTAATATGTACTCTTAATGAGTCTACATAATTACTTGATAATATGCAAGCTAAACTGTAATCAGGCCTGACAATGCGTTCCGAGTCATCTTGAAGATGAGAGAGGTACTGCATTTATTGGACGCATACTGGGGACACCGACCAGACTGACCTCCTGCCTGGTTATAACCTGGCAGGGGAGGTTAACCTCCCTTGCCAGGATATTCCCTTCCCAACCTTCCATGATTGTAAGGGGGCGAGGACTAGTGACGACCCTTCCCCTCCCTCCCATCAATTCAACCCCACCTACCTTTAGTTTAGAGCACAAGAATTTATTGTTCGTTCGTTAGATTTTGTCAAGGATGGAATTAAGATTTACATATATACCCAGAAAACACCTGCAATCAAATTAGCTCCTCGCTGCCTCTAAGACATTTAGATTAGGAGAACATCACAGACATTTCACAGTAATAAGGAAGAGGTATCAGGGTTCTTAATCCCAGAGTCATCTGGCCAGTTTCCAGATGAGTGTGTTGGCACGCTGCTGATTCATAAACAGGTTAACCTTCACATTCATTCTGCCTGCATGTTCTCCACCAAGCCCAGCTCTGCAGGTTCTTTGAAAACAGTACAAAATCTTTTCTCGCAGTCGACTAAATACTGATACAATTAATAGTCTGTTTCTCAGGAATGCTTTCGTCTCTTCTGGAACGTCTCCCACTGTTATAGGAAATTATTTTCTACAAATATTTTAGAACTTAAGTTATTTGCTTTGTTATAATAGGGAAGATGTAGGGCGTTTGGTCAGTGGTGGTGATGGACTGGTAGTGGTGGTGGTAGTTCAGGTACCTGAACTACTACCACCACTGACCCGCTAGTGACGCTAGAGGGTTAATGGTAGTGGTAGTTCAGGTGTCTTGTCACTGGTGGCAGCACAAATCTCATCTGTTGTAATACAGGAAACTTCATCCTTACTTAATGTACTATTTACTTTATCGTAGTCACCAATAATGTGTTCTAAAGTGTATACAAATGTATTTAAGACATGTCTGCGGCGTTGTGGTCTCGAGCTTCAACACATCATTCAGGTTGACCTTGTAACACCATTTATACACCGTTGTGTACATTTCCGCTTGATTTTGCTTTTGCTCCCTTGCCACGCAGGTTAAACTACTAACATTAACACCAGACGTTTAAGGACAAAAATCGATATTATAATGTGCCCGAATCTAGTTACAACCACCAAGGCTAAGTTGATAATACACTCTAACCTATCCTATTTTAAACGTTACTGTATTTTAAATGAGGGCCTTCTACGTCTGGCAGCGGTGTCGCGGCCTAGACTACCAAGGTTAAAGTCTGCGAAGATATGGATTCAGGATCAAAAACCTGTACCGACATGAATATTATGACGTCATAGTGACGTCACACCTCATCCACACCGTGTATAAAACACATTTCTTATTTTCATTGGGTTGGGTTTGTTGATAATAGTAGCGATGACGAGTAGGGTTACATTTCTCGGGTCTTAAACCCTGCTTCACGCAAGGGTGTCATCAGAGATATGGGGGGATTGAATCTTGTATCTTTAGATTGCATCACTGGGTCGCCTGAGCATGGAAGCTGCACTTTAGCATTCACTTTATCTACCGCCCCTGGAGAGGGTGGAGTAACTTGTGAAATACTTGAGAGTACTGAGAGATCTCTTATTGATTATGCCGCACCTGTCGTTTCTTGTTAGGGTAAAGGTAGACACAAGGTAGAGAAGGTACAAAATGCAGTTAGGAGAATAACCTTAGGATGCCCAAGAAATGCAATGATTGAGATAATAGGGATGACATTGATATCTTCGGTTCTGCTATTTAAGGCTGAACTAGTTTATCCAACCAATTTTCACCATTAGCCCAAGCGTCAAATTAGTAATTTTTTTATGCCTAACCAGAGGCGTACGAACCTGGACAACCGCCTTGACTTGTAAGTCACACTGTGAAATGCAATACTAGAATGGAAACTGCGAAGTCGGGTATCGTATGTTGTGGCAAACACCAGATGTGGCTGTTGCTTGGTGGTGGATGTCGAGGAGCTACCTGTGTTCCTTTGGCCTTATTTACGTAGCCTATACACCTGTATAGCCTACGTATATATCAAGGTATACCCTATACGTAAAGGCTATACACGCGTAGGCTTGAATTTACACTATACTGGCTTGTAGTATGGAATCGAGACCAATATTGTATCGGAGGAGTGCTTCCCTGTCCTCCATCAACCTCGTTGTGTTGAGCAACTTGACCAAGGTGTCCCCTGTGTCCTCCACCGCTCCTGTGCCAGCGAAGTCCACTACGGGCTCACCGTTGCCCATGCTACTTGGAACTTGTTCAGAGTAGCTGAATCTATAACAACCACCACCTAACATCCACCAGCACCTAACGTAAGCTGGAATACACAACACCAAACTCGTCCCCATTCTAGAGTTGTGCATCGCGTTTCAAGCAGTGTGGCTTACAAATAGAAGCGGCTGTAGCCTACTGTATACTAATGAGGCGGTCATAAATAATGATGATGATTTCATGCATCTATTTACCTGCGCTCCACTGGGATTAGCACGAATTTAGTTAGAATAAATAAATACATGAATGAAATATGCTTTTATCACCACACAGCCGACGCAATTTTCACGCTTTGAAGTTCCACGTAAAAACAAATATAGTGTTATTGGTTGAATAATAAAAAAAGGCTAGTCCCGAGAAAATAAGAAGTCATCGCTATATACATGTTGGATAAGAAACGTAGAGAAGGCAGATGAGGTGTCAGGTTTGGAGGGAAGGAGACATGATACCTCTCGAGGCATCAGGCATCACCACCTGGTGTTGCCTGTGTACAGCCACGTGTACAATGACCAGTTTATGCCACGTGTGTACTGCCAGGCGTCGGCCAAGTACAGTGTCAGGTGTATAGCTAATATACTGTTATGTGGTAAACAGTACATTGTATATATATATATAAATGGAGCTTAAACGCCCATACTAAGATATATTCAGAGAGAAGATCAATGAAAAGTGCAATGCTGCTCAAAAGTGACACACACATATATAATTCGGTAGCAAGGTGTTTAATTCAGAGTTTGCTAAAATGGCAGAAGTTCGGGCTGACTGCCGGGTATGGAAAGGTGGGTGTGGTGGCGGAAGTTGATGGTAGTGGTGCCTCTCGGCCCGTCAAGGTCTTCTCTTAATAGTGTAGCAACTCTGCCGTTATCAACCCCCCACCCCACCCCTTCTCCCACGATACCAACACCCCCTGGGGGTCCACGAGTCCAACATGGGTGTTGGTAGTCCAGACCCCCTGGTCCACGAGTCCAACATGGGTGCTGGTAGTCCAGATCCCCTGGTCCACGAGTCCAACATGGGTGTTAGTAGTCCAGACCCCCTGGTCCACGAGTCCAACATGGGTGTTAGTAGTCCAGACCCCCTGGTCCACGAGTCCAACATGGATGACGGCGATCTAAGTTCACTAAACATCAGTGCTGGACAAAAGGAGACTTTTCTTCACCCAATGGGGTAATAAACCTATTGAACCACCCACCCATGCAAGCCATAAAGACCAAAACTGGGCTTAAGCTTAAAATGGATCAGGAAATGATAGACCTTCCACGAGTTCCCAGCTTCCTAACCCTACTACGGTCAGGAAGGATAAGGGGTGATAGACCCAGCTACTGAAACTATCAAATCAAGTTGTAACAAAGGATTCAAATTTATAAAATTTTATTATAAGAAAGGGATATAGCGAATCGACTTGAGAATGGTCCAGGACGGACCGAAACGTCGTCGTCCCTTCACCTTCTAGTGCGTGGTCTGGTCAACATACTTTAGCCACGTAATTGTGACTCATCGCCTGGAAAGGGATATAGCCAACGGATATGACCTCCAAGATACCTCTCAAGATAACCTCCAAGATAACGGAGGCAACCCAGTGAGTCGGCGAGAGTGGGTCAGAACCAAGCAGAACCACTGAAAGAAATACCTTGGTACATTTTAGAGGAGACTAGACAGTCTGATTTATTGATGGATTGGTGACGCCTCTCGACACTGAAATGTCGAGGTCGTCGGAACTAATCATTATGTAACTTACATTTTTAAAATTACTATCTTAATTTTTAAAATTACCATCTTAATTTTTAACATGAACATTCCATTAATCGTGTGTTCTTATGTTGTTTAAACCACAGGTGACGAGAATTTACCGCGATAAATGAATGTCTGGAGAACTCAAGTGTTTCCATGAGCTTTCTCCTAACCGAAGAACCACATTTGTTAGAGCCTAACATTTCTTTTTTAACCTAACATTTCTTTTTTAGCCTAACATTTCTTTTAGCCTAACAAATAGATTTTTTTAGTCTAAAAGAAAACAACGCAAGTAGAACACATGTTATGAAAACCATTTGAAGAGAAAAAACAGCTTGTTCTATGGACCACGCAAGTCTACAATTGCCTATTTCGTATTGCCATTTGCATAAGATGCGATACGCTTTGCTCCCTCCTTTTCACCCACCTCCCATGCCTGTTCTTATGAAGACCATGAGGGATTTAGCAGCGTAAAAGTTGCACAAAGAAGTCACATTAACGTGGTGTATCAATGTGAAAATCAGTAGGAGCCATTTGCTGGACAA